TGGAAGCGTGGGAAGTCTAGACTTGTGATCAGGTTATGAGCAATCAATATAAGTTTCCAAAAGGATCTGTCTGTCATATATGTCAACGGCTGGGCCAAAGCCTAGCGAAGTTTGACAGGAAATGAGACGTTTGACAGGATGGATGTGTCCTGTATTATTTAGTGTGTAAATCATTTTGCACTAATCATTCCATTCCTACTTCTTGTACTTTTGTAAGTTAGGTTACTAGCAGTATCAATTTAATTATGGAGAACAAAGGCTGTGAAAATGAGCAGACAGGCGAGCTATAAGCCTATCTAGAAACGTCTTAGCCAGTGGAGAGCTCCAGATCTTTTCCTCAGCGCTTGCCCGACACTGCCTGCACTGGGTCATACATATTGAAATAAACTGTGCACCTCACTCAAGCAGGTGGATCCTGTTTAAATTTACAGGGAGCGAGGTCCCACCGACTAGTTTAGTGGGGTGCATTTCTAAGTGCATGGAATTTTAACATGATTCATTTTGAATTTCATTCCTTGCATTCCTTGTGAGATTACAGCTGAAGCACAGAATCTGACCTCTGGTGCAGCTGGCATGGGGGCCACACGGCTGTCCAAATGTTATTTGGCTGCCGTTCCCATCTTAGCTAAATACTACTTTGCAGGCTAGGGCTGAGGGGATTTGCAGGCCAATGACATGTGGAGGGCCACACCTTCCCCCCTCTCTTGCCCTCAAAGGGAAATAAAGTGGAAAAGGTGTTCAGTAAGGCATGGGTGGGGAAAGTGTCAGCCTTATATGTTGGTGGATTACAGCTGCTACCAATCCTCACCACTACTTCGTTGGCTTGTCCTGATGGGAATTTTTAAGTCTTGCACCATCTGGAGGTCCAGACATTTCTCATCCCTGATATGTTGTATCTGATGATGGCTTCTCCATGTAAAATGGAAGTCCCACAGTAGACAGTCAATAACAAGAGGAACGCCCTATAGATGTTGAGCTGCATGTCATTAGATCCCTTTCTGTTTCCAGAGGAAAACATGTACTGTACATCAGAGACTGTGTGTGCCGTCCCCTGTTGCCTTGCACCAGTGCACTGAAGGCATATATGAAAGAGTTTGGGATCCAGAGCAGGAGGGATGGGGACTGATCCTAAGGTCCAGTGTGTCCTGCTTGTTTGTTTAAAGATGACTACATCAGCTTTTAAAAATGGAACTGGAGAGGCACAGTGTTCCTTCTGTTTTTAGATGTTCTTTGGGCTTTTTTGTGACACCTTAAGGCAGGGGTCTCAAACTCAATTTACCTGGGGGCCGCTGGAGACAGAGTCTGGGTAAGGCCGGGCCGCATCAGATTTTCCGCCAAGTGGAGCAAGAACTTGAGGAAACCGCCCAGGAGTTTCCTTAGCCTGGCTGGGGCTCCGAGGAGGAGGAGGAGGAAGCACCGCTGGGTGCTGAGGCAGCCGCTGGCCGAGCTGGTGCTGGGGGTGCTGAGAGAGAAAGAGAGCCAGACAGCCACTTCCCTGGAAGAGGTGGTGGCTGCTGCTGCTGCTGTTTGGGGCGCTCTTGGAGGCGCTCTTTGAGGACAGGCTGGGAGCGAGCTCCACTCTCAGGCATCATACGGCAGCGGCTCAGGTGGTTAGGGAAAAGAGTTGTCAGCACGCCTCGCTCACTGGCTTTCCCCAAGACAGCGCCTCTTGCACTCTTCATCCGGAATTGCAGCCTGCCAGCCTGCAGACAGGCGGGCTGGCTGGCAGGCTGCAGTTCTGGATGGAGGGTGCAAAAGGCGCTGCCTTGGGAGAGAGTCGGCGAGCGAGGCGAGGCTTTTTTTGACTCTTGATAGCAGAGGATGTGTGGGCGTTTCAGGGGGGCAGGCAAGGAGGGGGCCACGAACTATCATCCGGCGGGCTGCAAATGGCCCCCGGGCCGCATGTTTGAGACCCCTGCCTTAAGGAGTAGCAACATTTATGTGGCATAATTCTCCATGGACTATAACTTGCTTTTTGCATCTGAATTGGTGGGTTATCATCCATAAAAACTTACAACAAATAGAACTTGTTAGTCTTTAAAAAGTCACATAGACTCCTCACTGTCTTTTCTACAATGGACTAATACAGCTAAAATGTCAGGTTTTGGATTCTCTGATCCTGTTGTACCAAGATACTCTCATCCATCCTGATCTCCTGTCAGTGGAACATGCCAAGGCAGGCCTACGGACCAGTCTGTGAGACGAGAAAATATTTATTATAATTAATAATGTATTTTTTCTACTTAAATCCATTTTTGGAAGGAGGATTTTGAGCATTACTGAATTTAACTGACATTTTAGCCAGCTGTTAAGTTTTAGCTTTCATTTGGAAGGATCAAGAAGATCAAACTGTTGTTTGTGCATTGCTGTGTCCTTGAGGGTGTGAGACCACACAAAAGGGAAATGGCAGGTCAAAGGAGACACTTTTCCTTTACTTCTTAAAAAAATGCTTCTCCAGAATTCTCTGCCAGCACAATAGCCTGTAACATAAACTTTATAAATCAGTCCTTCACTTGCATAAACAGTTGCTAGAGTTATGGATAAAGCACAAAGCTGTAAGGCCAGGTTAGGGTTAACCAGATGTCCCTTATTGAAAAGGATCACTCTATATTTTCTCCTAATTTATGAAATGGCAACACAGTATAGTATAATGGATGTATTTTTGTATCAGATAAAACAACCAAGGGACCCTTTTATTTCTGAAATTGAAATGAAATAATGTTTCGTATTCCTTTTACCAGAATAAATGAAGTGAAACATTCTTATGCAACAGCATAAGATTTAGTTTCATTGCCTACAGAAGTATTTACTTTCTTTTTTACTTTCACGTTGTTGTCCTCTTGGGTGATTTTAAAATTCATTACGCTCTAGCCGCTAATCCATCTCCTTGATATTCGTCTTTACTTCCAATGCTTTTGTTTTTGTATTTTTTACTCACCTTGTTGGAAATATGCTTCACTTTATTATTATATAGCTGTATTCTAGATAGCAAGTGTGGTATAGGCCAGGACGCGGGAAACTTGGGTTGAAATCCCCACTTGACCATGGAAACTCACTGTGGGAGTGGAACTGGTAAAACCACCCTTTAAATATCTAACTCGCCTTGAAAGCCCTGTAGTGCTGCCATCAGACAGGGGAATGGCTCACAATTGGGGCTGCGTGTGCTGCACTCTAGAGCGAGCTATTTCCAGGCAGTCACATAACACATAGGCAAGAGGAATCCAGCCTGACCCAAATCCATGCCGAGACTGGAATTTTTTGGTTCAGTGGCAGGACTACTCTTCTTGGGGGCTTTGTAGATGGACAGAGGAGTCACTTTAAGGCAGTGGTTCCCAAACTTTTTTTCCATTACTTATTAGCCACTGGCCACAGCTTCCCAGTACAGTAGGACTGCCATATCCATGGGATCAGTACCTGCAGTTTCACTTACCCACTGCTTAGGGGGAAAAAAAGAAAGAACCCATGAATACACCTTCCCAGGGTGTATTACCAGAACTGGCTAGTAGATGGAACCAGTGACTCTGCTATAGACAGATAGCTTAAGGGAAAAGTCCTCATGGCCAGACTTCTTTGAGAGAAGCAGCTTCCAGAAAAATGAAGAAGCTGCATTTTATTGTGGGAGTGGGCCCTGGCAGGGAAGGCTTCCTTGTAAACAGGAGGGCAGGAAACCCAGTCCTGGGCGAGGGTTCCCTCTCTTCACCATGCACAGACATCAGAGAAATTGCAAGCAAGTGCTGTACAACAGGGGTCCCCAACCCCTGGTCTGTGGCCCAGTGCCGGTCCGTGAGCTTCCTGGAACTGGGCCGCGGAGACAGATATCTGCCTCCCTGCATGCATGCATGGTGGGCGTGTCTCCCTTGTGGAGGGGCATGTCGTGCTTGTGGGTGGGCGTGTTGCACTCTCTGTGCGCAAGCGTGACATGCCCCTTCGCAAGCGTGACACTCCCACCCGCGAGCACTGCGATGCCCCCTCATGCATGGAGCCCGTAGAACCTTTTTGGGGCCGGTCCGCTGTCTCAAAAAGGTTGGGGACCGCTGCTGTACAAGATTTTGGGTGGAGGGGGGGAGAAGGGAGGGAGAAGAATGAGAGAATTCTGTGGCGCCCCCCAAGTGGATTTCCCAGTGCCTCATGAAGCCATGGAACACAGTTGGGAAACACCGCTTGAAGGGTCACAAGATAGTGACTCTTTCTAGCGCAGTCAGATGTGACCCTTTCTCATTGTCTGATCCTTGGTCAGTTCCAACTTGACAAAAGATCACACCCACACAGATTTGTACTTGTTGTATCTGTTTAGTCCCCTTTCCTGTGCCTGATCACTTTCTTGTTTATTCTTTCTTTCTTTACATCCTCCTCTTCTTTTCTGAAGACAATTAGAACTGTCAATCAATTGATTGCCACGTTGTTTTTCTGTCAACCCCTAGTTTGTCTTGTTCCTCCAATTCTGCTGCTTTTTTTGGTTCTTATTTTTTCTTAATGAAGCCTTGATCAGTTTGCTCCACCTCTTCCATCTGTTCTTGCTGAAGTTTCCCTCTTCAACCCTAACATTTAATCTATCCTTTTATTCCCTAACTTCAAGAGTTTTCTTCCATTTATGCTCAGCCATAGTTGTATGTCAGGTACCCTTCCTGTTTTGTATTCTGTTTTCCGTTTTATTTGCTTGATTTTCTGCAGTAATCAAGCTATTTATCTGATTAGAAAAATAGCTGCACAAGGGGAAAAGAGTGCAATAGAACTTAGAATAGAATAGTCGGATTCAGTGCTTGCCTGCCCAGCCCTCTCCATTCATTAGTATTGATTCATAATTGTGGTTAGCTAACATTCTCTCTGAGGAAAGTATAAAACCCTACAATTTAAATGTTTCCAAAGCATTAACAAGAAAGCAGATTCTAAAATCCTTGATTTTTCTATACTAGGCATTTTATTATCAACCTTTAAAAGTCCATTCCCCAATACCCTATCCTCAGAATGTCTGACACTCGTGTTTCTTCCTTATGTTTCAGATTTACTGGCCACCTCTCCCTGGGCAGAAAGAAGAATGTTTTCAAAAAGGAAAAGACCCAGTGGTAAGTCATCCCATTTCTGCTGGTAAAGTATATCCTGATGGATGTATTGTGATGTTTACATCTCCTGTTATAATGGCATTTGAAATTAACTTGCATTTGCCTTAGAAGGGTAGATTGTATCCTTTCCTGAAATCTTCCTACTTTGCTTTTGAGTAATACATCCCTTCCTTCTGTTACACAGAGTTCTTGTTATCCATTTTACAAACTGGTCTGTCAGTCATCACCTCGTCCCAAGCAATCCTGCAATTTATAATTCCAAGAGAAAGATTAGGGATAGTAGTTGATTGAGGCTCCTTAATATCTCACAAGATATCAGGTCTAATATTCTCTGTGGATTGCCAGGGCAATTATTGTATAACATTGAGATAAATTGATAGCTGAATGCCTACTACAACTTCATGAAAATGTCACTGGTGATTAGCAGTTATAACCTTGGAAAGGGAGTAGAGAACTCATAAAGTATGAGACAGGTCCGGTGCCATCATTTTGCAATGATTAAGGGTGCAACTACATCAACAATTTATGTGATAAATGCTCAGGGATTGGGATGGTCTAATTTGCATTATTTTCCATTGACAATGTGATGTAAAAGTCAATGAGAATAAGCCCAGAATTCCCACACACACATATCTGTAGTTTTTTTTATCACCACTGCTGGAGCTTCTACATTTTTGGAATCAAATGTGTTTGCATCAATTCTGGTGGTGTGATTGCTTGAGCCGACTTGGAGGGGTTTGTAGCCATTGCATTTAAAGTCATTCCAGCTAGCTGCAGCAGCAGTGAGATGGGCAGTGAAGAAACTGGCTGCCTGGATATACTCCGCTGCAGACCTGGTGCCTGGATATAGGTGTTTTCCTCTTCTCTTCCCTTCCTTTCCCTTCTCCCCTTCCTTCCTTCCAAAAGCTTGCTGTCCTAGTACTAGAGCATCTGGCTGAACAAAGGAAAGAAAAGAGCACGGGATCAGAAGGGGGCAGGGAGAAGAGTTTCAAGGCAGTTCTGTGGCCATCCAGAGTAGCAGGAAGCATGGATTCCTGTGTGGTTGGCTAAAGCAAATTTACCTGGGGAAACCTGACTTCCTGCGTACAACTTCACACTCAAAGTTTCGTACCGTGCAATTGCACCTTTAGTTAAATTAAAACATTTCAATGACTATAGATAGGAACCCAGTTCTTCATCATTATGTTCCTGATGTCCCCAGGCACAGAGACCACATTTTTACAGACTGAAGCGCCTTACTTCAGCCAACTACACAGGAGCCAGCCAAGAGAGAAAATCACCTTGTTTGCAGCTTATAAACAATTTGAATCCTCTCCTCCCCACACCTGGTTCCAAGGATTGTTGGTTAACTTCTCCCTCCCAGTTCTGAATATTTATTTGTTTTGTTTTTCTGTTTAGAGGCTTGCTGCCCTGATACTCTGGCATCTGGCCAGAGCGAGGAATCAGCAGAAAGAGAGGAAGAGGTTTTAAGGTAGTTCTGCTCTAATCATGCTTCTTGCAAATCTGGACTGTGAAAGCAGAGCTACCTTAAAACTTTGTCCCCTTTCTTCAATGCCTCACTCTTTTGGTGGGCCAGCTGCTCCAAGATCCTTAATTCCATTATTACTTTGCATAAGGGATTATTATGTGAAATTATGTGCATTTTTAGTTTGAGAAAAGTAATGAGGAATTTGTTTCTTCCAACCCACTCACCCCCTTATAACATAGATCTGAAAGTATATTTATTTACTTGAAGCATTTATACTATATACTGTAAACTCTTTTAACTAAAAAGTTCCTAGAATACCTTGTAAAGGCAGCATGACATTTATTGTCTGTGTGTAGTTTTATAGTTTTCCTGATTAGATATCATTACTTTAGGGTTTTTAGTGCAGTTCCTTTTTTCCTGGAAATGGTATAGGTTATGTGGACTAAATAAACCCAGTGCAGTTCATGACACACAAGGAATGAGGACATGGGGAAGGAGAATAGGAAAGGAAGTTCAGTTTTCTATTCTAATGACATTTAATTGGAATGAAGGTTTTTCAGATAGCCACCCCGGAATGGCTGTGGTATGGGGAAGTTGATCTTTATTGCATTTATAATGTGAAAACAAATTAACAGACAAAAATTAATCACCACTATAATGGCATGGGTCATCCTCTTCTAGTTATAGATTGATCCATATAACTGCTTTATTATTAGTATTAGCATTAAAAATACCAGGTACTGTCAAACAAAATTATAAAAACACTGACTGGTTTTATATAGCAGATAACAAAAAACTTAAGTATCTTAAATATTGACATAGTATATATGCTGTTCCTAATATTGTACTTTTTAGTAGCTCTGATTATATTATTTCTGGAATTTTAAACTGCTTATAATACTATGTGAAATGTCTTCGTATTGTTCCCAAATCCCCAATGCCTATAGGAAACCCAGAAGTATGCTTCATCTACAAGTGAGATATTTCAATTGCTCGGTCTCTGTATTTTGTTTTTCCAATTCTTTATCTTCAGCTCTGGCATCTCATGGAATTGCAATGTCAGTTTTCCAAACATTCCTTTGTTATGTTACTACTTAATTTTGCTCCGTTTAGATCTGGAAATCCCACAAGGTCTTGATTTCCTCATTTTCTGACACCTTCTCTACCTGATGTTCCCACAGGTTTATATATATATGTTATGTTACTACTTGTTATGTTACTACTTGTTATGTTACTACTTAATTTTGCTCCGTTTAGATCTGGAAATCCCACAAGGTCTTGATTTCCTCATTTTCTGACACCAGTGCTTGTTCTTGTGCAGCAAAAATCAAGCCTTCATTTTCTTTCTTAAGGGTCCCAAGTTTTAGCCATACCTATATTGAATTATGATCATTTTCCATCAGTATTTCTCAGGTGCTCTCCATGTAGTGGTTTATTTATTCCAGCTGTTTAATTTATTTTCAAGTTGTTTCTTATATTGAACCTTTGTTTCTGTTATTTTCAAAATATTCTCCATTTTCACTGCTTTCAGTACTTTTTACTTCTTGTACTGAAATAATTATTTAGGCTTCTTTCTTCCTCCTCTACTACCTGCTGTATTTGCAATAATCCACGGCCTCCTTTTTTTGTAGTAAATATAATCTGTCCATATCGCTTTTTGGATGTAGTGTGTGATGCATGTTCATTAGTTTTTCGATCCAATTCCTCTAGTTGGTTTTGAGTCCAATCTATTATTCCAGCTGGGTATCTAATTACTGGAACAGTGCATGTGCTTATGGCTTTGATTGTATTAACCCCATTTAATTTTGATCTTAAGATTTTCTGCAGTCTTTTGATATATTCCCCTTCTGTCCGTTCTTTAACTTTTGTGTGCCCAATGTTGTCTGCTTCTAGTATTCCAAGGTATTTAGAATTGTCATCACTCCAGAGTGATTTTATAATATTGCCATTTTTAAACTCTATTCCATCTAGTTTTTGGATCTTGCCATGGTGTAGAGTCAGAGCTGCACATTTGTCAATTCCAAATTTCATTTGGATATCTTCACTAAATATTTGCACTGTGTTTAGCAGTGATTCTATCTCTGTGAAACTTTTTACATATAGTTTTAGGTCATCCATGTATAAGAGCTGATTGATTTTTACAACTTGTTGTAAAATATGGAAGCCCAATCCAGTTTTATTTTAAATTATTGACCTAAGGATTAGCGAGATGTTAAACAGCAATGGTGGTAAAGAATCCCCCTGAAATATTCCTCTTTTGATGTTAACTTCCCAAATTTCTTCACCATGGGCTGTTAAGACAGTTTTCCCATTTTTCCTTGTTTTTCTTGAGAAACTCCTGAATGTTTTTAGTAATACCAAACTTTTTAGGCAGATGTTAATCCAGCTGTGTCATGAGTCAAATGCCTTTTTATAGTCGATTCAGGCCACGTTAAGGTTTGTTTTTCATCTTTTTGCATTCTTCAGGATCATTTTATCAGTAAGCAGCTGATCTTTCGTGCCTCTTGACTTTTTAAAGTTCCCTTACTGTTCAGTTGGATATAGGGTGTTTTCAGTTAAGTATTTATATATACAGTACTGTATTTTTCCAGCTATAAGATGATACTTTTGCCTAAAATATTTAGATTAAAAATTTAGGGTTGTCTTTCCCCTCCATTTTTTTGCGAGGAAAGTGGTGGGGAAAGCACTTTCCTTGCAGGAAAGTGCTTTATTGCGAGGAAAGTGCTTTACTCCTCCACTTTCTTCTGAAGAACTTTCCCGCAATGAAGTGCTTTCTTGAGAGGAGGTGAAGGGGAAAAGCAGTTTCTTGAAAAGAAAGTGGAGAGGGGAATCAGGAATCGCTTTGATTAATCACTTTGATGATTCCTGCTCTCCCCCTCCACTTTCTTCTGAAGAAAGAAAGTCTGGGTTAGAAAAGTGGGGGGCGTCTTATACATGGGGGCATATTATACATGGAAAAATATGTTAGATCTTGCAAGTACTCCTGTGATGATCTTCTATTATCAGAAATGTGCAGCCTGTTCTCATCCATTCTTCAGTTGTAGAATTTTGAAGTAAGTGATTAAATTGCAGTGCTATACGTTGATTGAGACTTGCTAGATGCTGTAACCAAAATCTGTGCAGTTCATCTGGACCAGGGGCACTCCAGTTTTTCACATCCTTTTCAGGCCTCTTAATCATTTCAGTTATTATTATAATAACTAAACTCATCCTTTTGTTTTCCTTGAGTTTATTTACAAATGTTTTAATCCATAAGGCATTTTTGTTATGTCCGGTTAGGCTTTCCCACATTTCTTTCCAAAATTTTAGAGGATAATCTTTACATGGGCCTAATTTCTTTTGTTCTGCACTTTCTCTTAGTGACGTATAATCATTGGTTATTTCAAAACTGCATGTTTGCTCTATATTGTTTCAAGCATCCATCATATCTTTCAATTTTCTTTGCTATAGCTATTACAGTACTTGCTATTTTGATTCTGCCATAGTTTCTCTTTCAATTTTCTTTGCTATAGCTATTACTTGCTATTTTGATTCT